AAGATGAAGGATGCTATCACTGTTTGTTTAACACCTGCCCTGACGGAGCTCTCACTGGTTCAACCTGCCTCCAACTCTATGGTAAGAACCTTACAGTGTTATTAAAGACATCTCCATCATCCTTAAAGTCTGTCCTGTAAAAACTTGATGTGATGTTTTTAAATGTGTGGTGTGTGCAGAGCTGCATGAACCCGTTCTACATGTCAGAGAATCAAACTCTCCTGAAGAGGCAGTTGTGTCCTGCTCGGGCCACAGGTCGACCTGCTCCCACAGTAAGACTGACTGTCCTCACTACAACTCTACCAGTGTCACCAACACCAACGCTACAGTCACTGTCACCGCTACAGCCGTGTTGCCTCTTCTCCATGGCATCAGCACACAGGTTGGATGTGCAGTGCTAGTGCTCTCTGGTCCTCAGATAGAGGTGTTTACCATGATTCCTGAGGTCACACTGTCGTCTGCTGATGGTGAGAAACACCTCGGCGTCAGTAAGTGAACCTTTATGTGGTCTCATGTCAGTTTCTGGAATACCCCTCTGGACACCACAAAGAACAACCACATATACTGAAGAGTAAGACACTTTATTCATTTTTCACTTTCATCTGTACCTCCCTAACTTATGTATTAACATATTTATTAAGTCAACCGCAATGCACTGTACTCTTCATGGACCTTTGTGTATTCATAGTCAGCATGTTTATCATCACTGTTGTTCAGAGTGATTTGGAAACTGACTTATATGTTGTTTTTATCTGAAGGCCCAAAACACCTTTAATGAATGAAGAGAACAATGTACGGCAACGGACGTCTCCTGAGAAAAATGAAAAAAATGGCTCCCCAAAAGAATCATCTCTGATAGCAGGGTGTCAGCGACAGCTGTTTTTACCATTGCCACAAGACTGTTAAACCAAAACAGAGGAACTAGAAGAAAGCAGCTCCCTGGAGCTTCAACAGTCACATGTAGAGCTCTGAAGCAGGTAACTTCACTCTAACTCAGAGTCACAGTGACTGCAACACAGTGCAACAGTAAAGTTTTGATTCAAACTAATCTAACAGGCAGATGACCATAATACAAGCTGATGTGTTTTGATGACAACAAGGAAATGTCCTGTGAGGTTATAGCGCCATCTAGTGTGCTTTGTGAGGAGGAAGACATTCACATGAGCCCAATTGCGTCTCACCCATACACTGTATTAAATAGGTCTCACTAAGGAATATAATACACAGCTAACTGGAGCTGTGTATTTGATTCAGTGATCCATAAAGTTGACATGTGAAGTAATCAGGTGATTATTTTATTCCAAATGAGCACATTTGTATATAACTATAACTGTATGCAACTATAAAGTTTAATTTACAGCTAACATATTGAATAACACACATGATGTTATTTTCTGCATAATATTTTCTGTGTGTTCTTAATTTTGCACTTGACTCTGTTTTTTTCTGTCTGGACACATTATGTAGTTGTAATTGTGGTAACGTGCTGACTGTATGTGGGTCAGATGGTTTTTGTTGTTGTCTTCTGTCTGTTTCTGCACTTGATGTGTGATGTATGTCCAAGGTGTTTCTAATGATCTAATGTTGTAGATTTAATAATTGTTCTCTGACTGTTTATGTTAATTTATTTTTGTTTTGTTTATTAAACAGATGTGTTAATGTCACGAGTGGTTTCACTTCTGTTCACTTCATGTTGCTGTTGCCCCTGATTCTTATTCATGACAGTGAGGTGTTTGTCTAGTGATGTATGTCTCTGGATAGTGAGAGGACCCTTTAACTTCCCTGTCTGGAAGTCCTGGGACACAGAAACAAAGGTCATTAACCAAAACGTCCATGTTCTGGAAATATAACTGAAAATATATGAGAGTGTTTAGAAAGATTTTATCCTCTTCTCACTGCACCAACGTGCCATAAAGGACTTTGAATCAATAACTTGACTTAAAGAATAAAGTGTGGAAGCTTTATATTCAGCTGATTCTGCATGGTGCTACTCTTGTGTTGTGATTAGTAGGTTCTTTTTCTTTAAAATTATAAATACTGTAACATTAATCATTTGGGTATACAGTATGTGGCTTTGGCTGTCTCTGTTAGGTAGCTGTCTGGCTGTCACTCATTCCAGAGCAGGAAACAGCACTTCAAAATAAAAGCTTTGTGTTGGAAATTCACTGCACTTAAAAATAAAGTGTCTTTTTAAGGTCCATCCAGAGTGGACCCGTGACCCACAAGTTGGGAACCACTGCTGCAGTGATTTATGCTGCTCAGGCTTGTTTGTGCGCATGTGCACAGACGTAATGTCAGCTGACCGGCGTGGACACGTCCCTAGGCTACATAAATAGTTTCACTTTAGACTTTCAGCGGTAGACCCAGACCAGCAGCAGAAATGGTGCACCGAGCAGTCATCCTCCTCCTTTGTTTGTTGGGATTCCTTCAGAAAGGTGAGAAAGAGATAACACAGTCATTTCATAGTCTGTCGGCTCTGTTCTTACTATTGCAGGTGTGTAATGTGTTTTAGGCGGGTAATGTTATAGGTGGTATAGTACCACCTATTGGATGTTTCGTGGCACTGCACCTTACGAAATGTCATGTCGTCTCCCAGCATGCCTTGCAGTCTCGGCTTTGTTATTAGGTTCGTTCGAGATAAGCCAGTCCTGCGCAGATTCGATCACCGGCGATCGGTGCACAATGCATGCCGGTTAGTTTTGTGTCCGACTTCATCCCGACTTGCTCTGACGTATTACAAAAGTGGACGGCGATAAAACCGCGAGAGCGAGGCGGCCGCAGTTTTTAGAGCCAGGCGCTGCAGTTGCTCTCCACCGACTGCACCGCCTGGCTCTCACCTGATCTAACAGCTGATTGGTTCAGATGTCGACTCAACAAGATGACGTTTTAGATAAACTACTCATTTTTGTTGAATTCTAGAGATTAAGATTGTATTTGTCTGACCTGAAGGTTTATTCTGTGAACAGAAAACATGTTGTGTGACTGATGGTGAAAACAAACTGATAAATGGGACTGATCACTTTTTTAATGAACTGACATCATTCCAGACAGGATGTAAGTGTGTCTGTGACTTCCTGTAGGGACTGAAGGCTGCTGGAAACTGTCGGGAAACTGTCCGACTTCACTGCGGCTTTTTGTCACCGCCCCCCGCTGCGGCCGCCTGCTCTCGTCTACTTTCCAGGCGAGGCGCAGTTAATCTCGAACGAGCCTATCGAGCCGACGCAGTAAAGTTTGATTTTTTATTTTTTTTTATAATCTTTAATTTTTATTTGAAATTTCAAGGCATACAAGGGATACATACATACATACATACATACATACATACAGGAATTTGGACATTCTCATTTTATGTAAGTAAAATTTGCCGATTAGTAGCATAAGATTAATTACAAAGGACAAAGATTTATCATTACATACAAATTTTGTAATAATATCATTCAGACCGACTGTGATGATATGTCTATTTTTCAAAATCCCTCCAAAACACAGATGACACAGGGCAAATACAGAATAAATATGCAATTGTCTCTGACTCAATCACACAAAAAGTGCATTTATCATCCAAGTCAGTGAACCTGGAAATTGTGTTGTTACAAGAATAAATGTTGTGTAGTATTTTAAAATGAAGTTCTCTTATTTTATTTGAAATACAGAATTGAAAGGGGCACAACCATGTTTTACGGCAATTAATATCGACTAATTGTGAATTACAGAAGAACTTTCCTTTGGGGGAGATCTTATTATAGCTATGAAGTGCATTCCTAACATGCTTATTGGTAAATTTTCTATCTAGTATATCAGTCCCTCTAATCATGAAAGAAGGTGTCTGAACCTCAATCTTTTGATAAGTTAAGTGACACTTCATTAACCCGAGTATACTCTGAGGAATGGCCTTTACAACAGAAGCAAATTCTTTGAATTTGACTGGAAAGGATTTTGTTTTTAAGAAATTTTCATATCTATAAAGATTGCCATTACCTTCAAATAGATCCGCAACAAAAATTATACCCCTTTCAATCCAGCTTTCCTTATATAAAGTCTTGTTTTTGACAGTAATATTGCCATTGTTCCAAATTATTTCCTTATGAGAAGAGAAGTTATGCACATAACACAATTTCCATGCCAATAAGGCCTGCTGATAAAACTTTGAAAATTTAACTGGTAATTTAGCGACAGTAAAATTGCAACTTAGTAAAAATTTTAAGCCACCTACCATTTTAAATAAACTGTGTGGAATAAAATACCACAGTGATGTCGGTTGCTCCAAACATTTCTTAAGCCATTTGATTTTAAAAGTGGAATTTAAATGAAAAAAATTCAGAAGTTCCATCCCACCTTCTGCTCTCTCTAAACTAAGGATGTCTTTTTTGAGATGGTGGTGTTTGTTTTTCCAATCAAAATGTACAAACAAACCATTGATATCTTTACAGGGTGAAGTGGTGTCTAACTGTCGTTACAGCCCGTCCCAACGGTTCATGCCAGGCTCAAATCAAACCCCGTCTCATTTGATGTTGCTCAGTCCAAAATGTCATCGCATTATTTTTTTTTCAATAGACGCAGGTGTCAAAGCCGTGTTGACAGGAAAGAGGCAGAAGAGAAAACCGCAAAATCACCTGGGGCAGTGCGGGCGGGGCATTAAGGCCACTGTGGCCTTAGGGCAGATATTTTTTTCAAGGGCACAGGGCCAAATGAGGAGGGCACTAGAGCTAGGGCCCTCTTGATGTGTTTATAGTAACGTTAGTGCCGCTACAGAACCCATTCCAAGGGCATTTTGACCCGAAAACGAAAATACGCTCAATCTTAAAAATGGGTTTTCAGTCATAGTTATGGTTTTAAACTCGGGTACATTCACAAAAACACCCTAGGTTGCATTTTGGCAAGAGTTTTGCTCTTCATGTTAACTAGCAATGTTAGTTAGCATTAGCAAACATTTAGCTTACCTGTCCAGAAGGAAAGCGGCGACCTCTGCGTGGCTTTTGAGCCCCTTTTCTTCCTTCAGCTGGCACCAACGCTCAAAAGCTTGACCGATGTTCACTCTGGTCCTGCTTTGTTGTTGGTCTGCTCGAATTTGAGACATATAACGCCGAGACGATGCCATTTCTCCACAGAGCTATCACGATCTGGCGACCCCTGAGCTCCGCCTCACGTGACATCAACGTACTAATGCTATTGGCTCAGGGATCATTTCATGTCGACGTAGCCAACGTAACCAGATGTAAATATTTATATATTTTGGACCCGTCAAAATTTATAAAACAATTATTTCTATGCTATAATATTTTTTTTCAGTAAAATTAATACTTTTATTCTACACCCCTCTAAATGTTCTGTGGATGTATTATTTTTTTAAAATTATTCGTTTTGATGAAAAAGTTGTAGCTATCACATTTAAAGATGGATTTCGCCTTTTTGATTTTAGGGGGAAAGTTTAATTGCTGTCTCTGGGTGAGGTTTTTTGTAATATGAATCCCTAAATATTTAACACATTGCTTGACAGGAATATTAAACATAAATTGTTCATCAGTCTAATAGAGACATAATATTTCAGATTTGTTGATGTTAAGTTTAAGGCCTGAAGCATCTGAAAATTCCTGAGTAGTCTGTAGCGCAGCTTGTATTTGTGATTTATTCTTAAGAAATAAAACCGTGTCTTCTGCTAGCTGGGAAATCTTTACCTCTCTTTCAAAGATTGTTAAACCATGAATATTGGAATTCTGTGAGATGTTCAAAAATAAAATTTTAGCAACAATTAGAAATAGAAAACAAGAAATAGGACAGCCTTGATGTACACCTCTTGATACAGAAAATCTTTTAGACATTGTGGGATACAAGATAACTGAGCTGGTTATTAGTTTTATAGAACATGGCAATAACATTCATGAAATTGCTTCCAAAACCTAGGGTATGTAAGGTCTGTATAATAAAAGAATGTTCTATCGAATCAAATGCCTTGTAGAAGTCAAGGAAAAGCATCAATGCATTAGAGTTTATAAAATCAGAATAGTCAAATTAGATCTAACAGTAATCTAATATTAGAACTTATATGAAAAGCCATTTTGATTTTCACTTATCTCATCTAAGTTTTTTTTAGTCACTTAGCGTAAACTTTTATAATCTATATTTAGAAGTGAGATGGGTCTCCAATTCTCAATTATTAAGTGTTCTTCACCAGGTTTTGGAATCAAGGTTAACAAACCTTGTTTCATTGTGGTTGTCATTTCCTGCCTTTTTATACAATCCTTAAACATAAGTAGGAGATGATCCTTAATCAAATCCCAAAAACAAAGATAGAACTCTACTGTCAGACCATCACTTCCAGGTGATTTCTTTAAGCTCATTGAGCTTACAGCTTCAGTTATTTCAGAGCAAGAGAGCTCAGTATTGCAAGCATCTCTAAAGTTTTCAGAAATCAGAGGTGTAAACTCTTTAATGCGGTTTATAAATGTTTCACATTTAGTCTAATTAAAATTAGATGTATATAGATTGTTGTAAAATGAGGTAATATGATTGGAGATGATGTTGGGGTCTTAACTTATGATACCATTTATGTTAAGAGATGTAATATTATTCCTTTTCCTGTTTCTTTTCTTTCCCTTTAAAACTAAAATAATCCACTGTCCTTCATTTGAAGTTATGGATTCCAAAACGTCCCCTTCAAATCTGTTAAACAATACTGCAACACCGGCAGAATGATTTGAGCCATGAGAAAAAAATATTGTATCACCCCATTGTGATTTCCAAAACCTTTCATCTTCCTTACATGAGTGAGTTTTTTGCAAAAATATTATGTCTGTACTGCAATTTCTGGGAAATAAAAATACTGCTTTCCTTTTAGTATTATCATGTAGACCTCTTACATTCAAAGAACACAAATTCAGTGCCTTAAAAATTAAACATGATATTTTAACAAAAATTAGCTTATGTCTGCAGAACAAATAACTCTGCAAAATATTAAGAAGTAGTACTTACAAACTTTTAACCTCAACCATAAGTACCATGGTTTTGGTTTTACATTTTAAACCGTTTATCTTAATTAACACCCTGTATCACTGCTAGCCGTTGTTGGTTTTTGTAGACTTCACTGGCGAGTCATTTTTTTCCCTTCAATATATGCATCGGGGTCACGAAATCCGGCTCGTTTCCCCTGTTTTCTGGCTTCTTCGACCAGAGGCCATAGCCGGTTTCTCTGCACCCTGTCGGTGTGTGTCAAATCTTCCTTGAGCTGTACAGTAGCTTCTTCTCTTTCAGGATGCTGTTGTCACGAGCAATTTTCCAGATCTTGCTTCTGTATGACCTCATGTTGAACTGGATGATGATGGGTCTGTTTGAGTTGTCACGGGGAACTCCAATCCTGTGCACCGTGTCGATGAGAAAGCCCATCTTCTCCTTGTCGTCGGGTGCAAGCACAGCAAAAAGCTTCATTATTTCAGCTCTT